ATATATTTGATATGGTCTCTATTTATTAATTTTTTTATTTATTAAAACCTTTCAAATGATACCTATATTAATAAGTAAAAAATATACCTATGTTCATATGACAATTAAGAAAGTCTTATAATTATTACTGAGGTACTTATGTACCTCAGTAATAATTATAAGACTTTTTTAATTGTCATTTTGACATTGCTGTTATTTCAATTTTAACAGTTTATGTATCCTAGCTGGCTAGCATAAATCCTTTCCAGGCGAGGGGAAAGATGCTGCGCGGCAGTGCGAGTAAGAGTCGTAGTATGAAAACTTACATTATTGATGCAAATTAAATGATGTGTAAATACAAGTTATGGGTAAATATAAGTCTTTAAATTAATTAATTAATCTTCATCATCATCATAATATGATTCTTTGTTGCTGATTTTATCATCTAAAAATAAACAAAGTTTATACATGAAATGAAATCAGCAACGAAGAATCATATATAAAGTGATGATGATGGAGATTAATTAATAAATTTAAAGACTTAATAATGAAAAATATCATACACACAACTTCTATTTTCACATCATTTAATTTGCATCAATAATATAAGTTTTCATACTACGACTCTTACTCGCACTACCGCGCAGCATCTTTTCCCTCGCCTGGCAAGGCCTTATGCTAGCCAGAACCGCCTGGCATTCTACCTACTTACTTTGAATCGCTTAAACAAACACATATATAAAGGAGAATGCCCATATTTGGTACAGCTTTGTCTCATGCCTCAAGATAAAATTATTATGATAATTATTTTCTTTAATTTATACGTACGATGGTCTATCAGAATGGCTATTTTGAACAGGGAATAATTTTAGAAGTAATATTAGTCATAGTACTGTTTATATTTTGAGCCGGATATCTGACGTTTGTTTATTTATCGTAAAAATAGTGATGCCATAGTACCCTTTAGTTACACATTATAATCGATTGTTGTTTTTGTTACCGATGAGTGGACCATCAAAAAGCAAATAAATCACGTGTTACTAATTATTGTTTAATCGTGATTTTACGTTTTTATTGTCTTAACGGTTGCGATGACAATTCGTCATTTATCTATTTCGTCTCTATGCTTAATACATCACAGCGTAACCCGTCGCTTGGCTTAACTCGACACTTTCCTATCACGTCTCTTGCTGTATATAGTGAATACTTACTGGATGTAACGTGTTAAGTATAGAGATGAAAAAGATAAAAATGTCGAGCATGTAGGTAGTCGGACAAAAAGAGGCACGTGCTTACCCAGCGCTTTGTCTTGCCTCCGTAGTCTAAAGGCCTTATTCTTGTACGCAAAATACAATGATTGTACATTGGCTTGTGCCGCGTCCTGTCATGCTCTTAGGTAAGACGGAACGTGCCGGGGTATTAAAGTAAAGATCAACTTTTGAATCGTCTCGAATCTAAGTTTAAAAAATCGACACGTATTAATAATGTTAAAGAAGGTTAATTCCGCGGAAATCTTTAATCGTTGTTTTTATAGAAAGCGCTCACCAAACTGTCGATTTCATCATTAACTAAGTAGTAACTAGTAATTATATTTATTTCTATGCTGTTTATTAATTAATTGAATCTTGATTTATTTGTATCTGACTTGATCTATTCATTGCGTAAAATCGATTATATACAAAAACAATTTTTTTTTCAATTCCATCGATTATTCGTATATTCAATTTCAGATCATCACCCTCTACCCTATTGCAAATGCAAACGAGCGGGGAATTGTCAATTGTTTTGTTGTTACTCCTATTTTTGTGTTGATTGAGTTTTTCAAAATAAATTGTGAAGTGATAATGATTGCGTGTGAACGTATCAAACGATTTTTTTTCTGAATTGTTACGACAGGCTCCTGCCTGTCGTAACATGTATCCTTACAGCACAAAAAAACAGTGCATTCACGACAGGACGTTTATTTACCGTATGTGTGATTGTAGTTTTCTCTACTCACGCATTAAGAATATTAAAAATGTATTCTACTTCAAATGAGGAATCGATGACGATTAGACTATTTGACTGGCTAAACCAGTGTATTGTAAAAATGTATTTCCAGGGCCCAAGATGTGATACTTGATTTTTTTTTGTAGAAGAACAGTTTAGCCCTCAACATATAACAGTACATGTACAGTCATGGATAACTCCTACTCAGGTGAGCTAATATTGTTTGTCTAATGTCATGTGCAACTAACTGTACGAAATATATATTAACTATTTGTTTCTTAGGTTTTTACGCACATCACTCATTAAATAAAACTAGTTTTTACGGGTTTATGCACGAAAACTTTATTTATTTATTGACGTTTCGTAGCCTTTACAGGCTTTTATTTAATTTGTCGAGCTACCTTCGAAAGACTTTTATTGAGCGTTTGGTTATTTCATTGTTTGATTTTTAAGTGTTATTGTCTATGTATGAATTTATTATTTAATTTACTAAATAAAGTATTTTATTTAAAATTCTTGTTTGTAATTTTGAGTTTATTTATTTGACCCTAACTACCGTAAACTACCACCGGTTCCAAAATTGGGAGACCTCCCTGAGAAGAACTGGCGAAACAAAACATAAGAAGGAGATAGAAAGCCTCTCTTGAGTTTGTTTCGCTGTTTATATATATTAAATATTTTGTTTGACTTCTTAAAAAAGTAATAACAGTTCTAGATACTTAGGTTAGGAATCATTTACTATCACAATCTTATGACAAAACTATTATTACTGTGTATTATTATTGCATATCATACTTAATAACAAATCCAGAACTAAGATGTTTGTAGTAGTCATGGTAACATTTAGATTTTATTTTATTTGTTTTGTTATCACTAGGCAGCTATTAGATGATGAGAGAATACAGAAATTCCTACATTGATTTGTAGACATCATATTTTAACTTTTATAACTTTCAAGAGTTAACTTGAGATCTATCAAACTGTTATTTTAAAATAAACAAAAAGGAATTTTCCATATTAATTATTCATTTCTTATTAATGTTATCTTTTTAGATCTCAAGAATGGAACATGTAAGTGCTGCATGTTGAAGATCAGCAACTCAACAAGTACAACATAACTCAAATCGCCTTACTCTTGTAGATACTACATTAAGTGGCAATCGTTCTATACCTGTGTCACCTCCTCTGCCACAACCAAGACTAGAAGCAGTTCAACAAGTGACTCTAAAAATTGTATCATCATCATCATACATGCTGCTAACACTCCTGGTCACTGTGTATTTGTAAATTGTTTAGAGCCTGAATGTCTACTTATTTCGTCTACCATCAGGGATCTCTTATTGTATAATAATAAATTGTGCATACCATCTGGTGCATGTGTTTGTCATCACTATTTGAATTACGGTTCATGGAATGAATTAACATCTTAATTAAGAGATTTTACTGGCACACAGTTTGATATAATATTATGATACAGCGATCAGCCAATTACAAGTAAGATTTTTCTAATGTTTCAATTATGTCTCCTCATTTATGTCATTATTGGCTTGTTATGAACTCTGGACAGTTTTATAATTTGCTCAACTGTATACCAATCTAGCAGATCAAGTGCCAAACGCTTCTATAGCCTTTTGTATTTATTTAGTTAAATTAAGAACTGCTGATAGCAACAAAAGATTGGCCACTCTTTTCAACAAACCTGGAGCTACATTAGAACATTGTAAGGCAAAAGCTAGATTTTTTTTGAATTTGTTTGTAGATGTATTACCTCTTGTTTTAGGTCTAAATAATTATTTATTAAGAGGTAGGATTAAATCCAGACACTTAAGCAGCGTACATATAACTCATATTTACTTATCAGTAAAGATGCTGCTTTGGCAGATACATTAGAAGCTATAAAAGGTTATTATTGCAGCTGTCACGTTGATAAACAACCTGTGGGCTGTTACGACCACTTAATGACTGTAGTTTGGTTTTTAAGTTGGGTTCGTTACAATGATGTTACTGCTCTAGCGCCTTATTTAGTTTATCTTTTTCATGAAGATTATGTATGATTTGAAATATACTGGCAATTCAAATATAATGTGTACAATTAATATATGTAATCTAATAAAAAGTGTCCTATATTAATGTTTTTATTTACCTATAGGTACGTAAATCTGCCATCACTGAAATCTGTGTTGTCATGAAAATCTATGCAGTAGGTTGGAAAAACAGTGAAAGACTCAAGTTGATCAAAAATAGCAGAATAAAAAAGTACCCAAAATAGCTGTAAACCCAACTTTAAATAAGAGTTATTAAGGATTTGAGGGTTTAGTAGTTCTTGGTCTATTACAGTGCATGCAATGGTCATGGTTACAGCTCGCTAATGAGTACCCGGCTTAAGATACGTGAACTTTAGTATACCATAAGATCAGAGTAAAGAAGGTTGCGTACCGAGTACACGCGATAAGACACGAAAGACATGCCCTGTTACAACTTATTATAATGGGCAGTTACTGGAAAACGAGGTGTCACTCGCAGAAAGTTTGCATTAATAATTGCGAATATTGTTGTAAAGTGTGTAAAAACGAAACTACAGCTTTGTTAGAGTAGCTTTGAAGAAAAGTGGAAGTATGTCACGCATGACTGTTATTGAAGTGTTTTGAAAAGGGTACTTCTATTTATATTAAAGTGAACATTTTTCATTAAGAGAGATTTATATACCATTAAAGGTAGTTGAAGACAGTGTTATTCAGGTAATACCTAGCTGAATAAACAAATAGGCTTACTCGTAGGTTACAGCATATAATAAGTACTGAATATGGTGTTTTTTAGTTTTGTGATCACTTTATGATATTAGCTGAATAAACAAATAGGCTTACTCGTAGGTTACAGCATATAATAAGTACTGAATATGGTGTTTTTTAGTTTTGTGATCACTTTATGATATCAATAAGAGTTTTCAAAAAGTTATGGGTAACCCACATGCAACTTTTACTTTTTACTTCTGTTCTGTGAATACAGACCCACTTAAAAATATATTAACATACTTGGATAAATTTCTAGTGTCTCCAGCACCAATTTGGAACTCGTCAAAAAATATGTTTGATTTGTCATCAAGGCTAGAGTCAGCATAATGTCTTTTTAATTGTAACATTGTTGACTTACTCAATGACCCATTTAAGTGAGCGTGTAACTCCTGCAACAGAAAATAATTGTATTTTCTGATAATGGCATACAGTGCTGCATCAGCATTTCAAATAACAAATGTGTAAAATCCTATAATATATTTGGGTTTGGCTGGCCTAAGTTGGACCAGATTCTGGCACAATTTTCTAAATCTAAAATTTAATTTTACAATAGTGTATTCTTGTCATGCTATAATTATACTAAATGAAAAGGTGAAGCTGTTGTCAAATTTAGCCAGAATCATGTTATGCCAGAATCATGTTATGCCAGAATCTGGTCCAATATCTCATAAAGAATGCCAGCATCAGCTAACATTCATGTTATTTATTAGTTTAAAGTGACTCCATAAAAAGGGGATATTTATAATTCTGTTGCATAATTAAAAAACGAAAATTCTGGTTTCATAAAGGTATGTCACAGAAATGTTTCTCTAGCAAATATAGTATGTTTATAGGCAGGTGACATCACACAGATCTTATTAAAGAGTCAAACAGTACCAAGCCACTTCAACCGCATGTTTACAATGAGGTGGGCTCTGCCAATCCTAATTCAGTCATGTGACAAGAGATCTAAAATATTTAATATAATCAAGTATTTTTTTTTTGTCAAAATAGTGATATCACGAATATTCATGTTATAGACAAGTGTCAATAATTGGTACTTAATTTTTTATACTGTCAAATAGGCTATTAGGCCCATAGTGTGAGTTAGATCTTTATTGTGTAACCACATCCAATGACACTAGGTATTTCCTAGCTGTTTATGATGCTAATTAAAATAAAGATGGCCAGACCATTAATAATGTTTTGATGTTGTTACAACAAATGAAGTATATATAATCAATTTCTGTGAATTAAAAATTACTATGGAGTGGGATGTTGAAGTATTTGGTCTTCAATTGTAATAGTAAATTAACTTTCGCAATGGCCTCTTAAGAGAGGCCATAGGTAGGGCTGCCATCCGTCCGGGTTTCCCCGGATCCTAGTTTACGGGGCGTCCGGGGAGCGCCCGGGCGGGGTTTTATTTGTAGTCCGTGTTTAAAAATTTACGGCAACCCATGAGTGGCCCTAGGTGCTGCAAGTGTCCATGGGCAGCAGAGACCACTTATTATGAGGTAGACCGCTAACTCTTTTGCCTAGATCAAGATAAAAAAGTTGATTTGTGACATTTTTCACTATTTTGTTATTGGTCTGTCCGGGTTCTGGGCTCCAAAATCCGGGGTTATCACGCGTCTTATCCTGGTTACCATATTTTAGAGATGACAGCCCTAGCCATAGGTGACCAAAAAGTACTATTTCGAGCTCATTTTGGTAAAACTGTACTTCCAGGGCCCAAAAGGTGATACTTGTTTTTATTGTAGAAAAGGTCTTTTTAACAGATTTTTTTTTCTGGCGCTTCGCCGGCCGCTGCCGCGGCACGTTCGCTTTGCTCGCTCGGCTCGCGCGTTATGGTCACAACACTAACCTAACCTAGTGTGAAGTATCACCACTTAATAAGAAAAGTAAAAAATTTCAATTTTTTTTTCTAAAAAACTACCAGTGCATAAGTGTGACATTTTTTTTAATAATGTGGTTATCAGAAACCTTTTTAACAACAAAAATGCGAAATTACAACCAACAAAACTGTGAAGTTTTTACTTTTGGGCCCTGGAAGTACAGTATATCCCTCATTTTAATTTAAATGGTAAGCACCCACCCATCAACACTGATACCTCATAGTGTGTTCAGTGGTTAACGTTATAGCATGTATTCACTTTAAGATCTATCTCTTTGAAATTTCAGTGCATCTGAGTAGCAATGGAAAGATAAACACTGATTAATATGGGAATACATCGCATGATAGTGATGAGCAAATAGCCTTAGATATCTACTTGACAGCAATATAAAGGTACATAAATATTTATATAAGTTAAGGACATAAATAATATAGTAAAGTACTTAACAATTTTTGGCAATTCACTGCAAAATGCGTACATATCCATTGTTGTTAAAAAAATCCCAACTTTCAACCCAACACAGAAGAGAACAAAGCGCCCAAACTCTCGTAGAGAGTATATTGTTCTGTGCGCCCAAACAACTTAGTATTTTTTTTTTAATTTATTGGCAATGGATACATTGTCCTTATGCCTAGCTTATTACTAAGAACATGCAACTTAAAATATATATGTTAATTATTTACATTTTACAATTTTTCTACGGTGTTACTTATATAATTAAATATAGGTTTATAAAATAAATGGTTCCCTAAAAGTTTATGCAATTCTGTTCGTATGTCACAATCATTAGTTTCACAGATATTTTGCAGTTTCGATATTAAAATTAAACGTTGTATGTTGAACTTTTGACATTTCTTAGTAATATCGTCGGTGATATTCTGAAACCGCGGAACTAACAGTGTTTAAAACCGCGTAAGGTAGGTGCAGTGAATTTTACAGGAACGAAGAAAAACATAATATTTACTGAATCACATGACTTTCTATTGTTTAAACATTTAAATTGTCAAATTATAATATTCTTCTTGGTATTGTAGGCATTAGTTATGTTAAATATGTATTAATTAATTAGTAAATCGACTTTCGCGGTTTTATTATCTCAAATAAAATCAAAATGAGTTTTTTATGTCACTTAAGCGGAATTGTCCGCCGAAATAAAACAAAAGAATACAATCAACATCCTATAATTATTTATTAAGTCAACTTCAGAGTTTAATTTTTGGCACATATTTATCACCGGTACATTAGGTAATCAACAATATACAGGAAATTAACACCATAAATCCCCATAATGTTAAAAAAAATAGCTCTTTATAGCTAAGTGTGTTAAACATACCTTGTCGAGAGGGTACTTACTAATTAACAGTTAAAACTAAAAATGAAGAACAAAACGTATATAAATATTACTTCTGAGTAGAATAATAATTGCACATTGAGGTCTTTGTTAAAAATGAGATCAATAAAACATTACTTTTTCTTAAATGGCAAATTATCGTAAAATAAGTGTCAATCTGCAGGTATCACACTCTTTAATAGCTGTAAGTGCTGATACTTACTGTCTAATATAGGCAGTCTAGATGAATACAGGGGAGGTACATTATAACTACAGCTGAAATAGGTTTTGGTCTCCGAGGAAGTGGGCTGAAATCATCTTTAAAGTGTTTTTTAAACTCTATTGTGCCGTTAGGATTATACTTTAAAACCCTCAGATCCACTACGCAATCATCTCCAGCAGAACGCCCAGGACGAAAGGAATCATAAATTTGGTATTCTTTTAGACTGTAGTCTTTAAAAAGGTGTAATCTGGTTGAAAAACCTGGTATGGAGAAGGGTGCTTCCTGGCTTCTTTTGTAATTGAGGCATACTGAGAAGAAAGAAAAATTTCAACATTTTTCAGCTTTCTTTCCACAACGGAGTGTACGGAGGCAACCTCCATTTAAGTGTGACCTTTTTCCAGATACTTTTCTGTAATTGTTGTATTTTTGTCTACTGCTAATCTTATAAGGGCATTAGAAACTATTGAGTTTCTGTTCTGTGCAGTGCAGTCATCCGTCCAGATGACAACATCCCTGCAATCTTCTTCTAATAACTTAGTCAAATAATCAATGATGAATGATGCGTAAGTGGTAGCTCTTATATCACAGGCGGTTCCGTCGAACCAGTAGCGAGTTACATGCATACGCGGTTTGGGCACAATAAACAATCACCTGACGTTACGCGGATTAAAAGACATTCGATTCCACGGCTTCCTATTGAATAATAGGCCCAGCCATCACAGAACGCAGCCAATCACTACAACGAAGCTAAGCCCGCGAAATCTCGATTTTGCTAGTTTTGTTAATACGCGGTTTTAAACACTGTTAGTTCCGCGGTTTCAGAATATCACCGACGATATGTTCTAAATCTCCTATTTAAAAAGCGCGGGAAACTTCGGTCTGGTTGGTCGTGAGAATTTTATAAAATTAATTTTTTAATGTAAATTGGATCAGTTGAGTAGTATTGTGTTAATATTTTAGTTTATTGGTATCTATTTAGTGTACATATTGTATTATTCTTCATATAGTTGGTAAGTAATAGTTATAATTTCAGTTCTCATTTTATGTTTGATCCGGACGACCCTGGGGGCTCTGGCCCCCAGGTGTCGAAAGTAATTACCGTGGATTGTAATTCCGGCCTAGACACAGAGGGATCTGTACTAGATTCCGATTGCTCGAACCCCAGAACTAACTCTAAAAGAAAAAGAACACATGCCAGTAAGATCTGCAAACATTGTAATAAAAAAAAGAGGAAACATCATAATTCTTCAATTGATTGTAGTGAAACAGACTGTAAATGTGATTTAGCTTCTTCTGCACCCGTTAGTACACCAATGCAAACTAATTTACTTCCAATTCCTTCTACAAATTCAGCATCTCAATTACAATATACTCAATTTTCTATTGACAACAAAAATTCATCACAGCAGCCAATAGGTAGAGTTCTTTATCAGTCATCAGATGCCTCTCCTTTTATTGTTCACATCCAAAAGACTCAAGAAGATCCGAATAATAAAGCATCAATCCACCCAGTTTCCTTTGGACAGTTCTTAAAAAAGCACTCCATTAAAAATATTGTTAATGGTAGCTTGAAGCGCATTGCCAGAAACAGACTTTTACTTGCATTTAGCCATTTTGAAGATGCTAACTTATTCTTAAATAATCCTGAAATAAAAAAGAACAATTTTAAGTCATTCATTCCCACTAACAATATTACGCGTATGGGTGTTGTGAGGGGAATCCCTGCAGACTGGTCAGAGGAAGAGATTTTAAAAATTATAAATATTCCCATTGGATGTGGAGCTATTCTTAAGGTAAGAACAGTGGCGTAACTATACCGTTCGAGGCCCGTGGCAAATTCATCGAATGGGCCCTCCCACTTCCCCAATATATAAAGAAGCTGAACCAACAACAATAGTATTTTTTATTTTATAATATTTATTTATACACTTTTATTTGTAAGAGTTAACTAATAAATCACTACGTGAAGTAGGTACATACAAACTTTATAATTATAATTTCTTGATTTTCTAATTATTCACTTTTAATTAAAGGTACCTAATTTAAAGTACATATTGAACTGAAATCACAATTTTATTTTAAGTACACAATTTTAATTATTAAAATTCCTTTCTTCGGATTTTCTGTTCAGCAAAAGTGTTAATGACATCATCAAAGTTCAAATTTCGGGCCATAGAATTTTCGATGGATAGAATAGCCAAATTGCTTAACCTTTCTTGTCCCATAGAATTTCTTAAATAAGTTTTTATCAATTTCAGTTTTGAAAATGATCGCTCGGCACTAGCCGTAGTTACAGGAATGGTGAGAAATAACAGAAATGCAGTGCACACTTCAGGAAAGCTTGAAGATATAAAATGATTCTTTATTATTAATAAGTCAGCAAGTTCTCTTATAGAAGATGACCTTTCTATTTCGTGTTTAAAAGAGGATCGAAAACTGAAAATTTCTTTGGAAAACGACATAGATATATCTTTTTTATATAAATGGACAAATGCTAAAGCCTTTTCCAATAAATCAGTATCATTCAAGTTTTGCAAAGTGGCAGGCTGCAAGACACTAAAATTGGAAACAATTTCATTCATTCCAAGGAAACGCGATCTAAGTTGATCAATGATGATGTCTAATACACGATAGAATACGTTCACTTTAAACAAGCTTTCAGGATCTTGGAGACGTTCATCCTCACAAATTTCATCAAAATGACGTTTCACTTTTCTCTGACGAGTTTTAGGAAATTCAGGGTTTATAGACCATTTAACTGCAATACTATTTGCTTCCGTTTTTAAATCTTCAAATTCATGTCGATACTTTTCAAGTTCTTCTAGACAGACTTGCAAACGCTTTGAAGCATTTGAAAGATCGATGGCTTTAGATTGAAGTGCTTTAGAAGCCGCGTCTATGTTTGTAAGACTTTGCAATGGAAAACCAGCAACATAATAAAATTGTAGTTCTCTACCTTCTTCTTTAGCAAGATAGCTTCATTTCTCTCATCTGATTTGGAATTTGATAAAATGGTTTTTGTTAGCGCTTTTTGAACATCAACAAATCGAACCTTTAAAGCAAACATGGCATCAAAGCGTCCTGCCCATCTAGTTGGATTCATTGTTTTTAATGTTACTGAATTTGATGATACAACGGTTTCTCCTTTTTTGTTGTCAGATATAAAACTAGATAATATATTCCATCGTCTAATACTATGGCCAAAAAAATTATAAATTTGTTGCACAGTTTCGAATAATGTTTGTATTTCTATGACCTCTTTTACTGCATCATTTACTACCAAGTTTAAATTATGAGCAGCACAATGGACATACACTGCATTTGGCTCTATATCTCTTATGAGTTTTTGAACTCCGCCATAAGTACCTTTCATGGTATTAGCTCCATCGTACCCTTGTCCACGGCACTTATTCAGAGAAATACTTTTGTCATTTATGGATTTTATTATCTGCTTGGACATTGCTAAGGCAGTTTGATATTTAACCTCATGAAATCCTAAAAATGACTCTTTAATTACGAGCGCCTTTGGAGTTCCATTTTCATCTTTCTCGATTACACAGTAACGGTAAAGTTCACACAATTGATCTGTTTTGGAAATATCTTGAGTAGTATCAAACAAAATGGAATAAAACGGTGCGGTGACTATTTCATTTACCAGAGCATTTTCCACTTTTTGAACCAGAACAGCAATGAGCTCATTTTGTATTTTTGGACTTAAGTATTTAATCTGGCCCTTAGGTTTGCTTAGCAACTCTTGTAAAATAGGATCGTATTTGGCTAATAACTCAACAATACTCAAAAAATTTCCTTTTGGACCAGAATCGTTGCCATATACCGTTTCTTTATGGCCACGAAAAGCTAAATTACAGGTTGAAAGTGTCAGAGTAACATCAAGGAGTCTAGTGAGTACCTGGCGCCAAAAACTTTTTCTCTCTTGATAATGGACTCTTGCTCTTCATCTAGTGTTCCATGTAACTGCCACTGTCGATGTACAAAACATGAATGCAAATGTTCTTTCGATGTCT